TCTTGGAAGCTGAATTCATCTGGAACTATTCTTAACTACACCTGAACTGCAGCTATAATCACTAAGGCTCAGCAGTTCAGGAGGGATAGGCGAACAAGGTACCATAACTACCAGTGTTCGTAACAGTAGTTTTCTTCTTTTAAATATAGTCTTCTCTTTTACTGTGTTGATTCCCATTATGTATTTAAATGTTTCTATCATATTCCCCTGCCTTGTCTTTCCTCTAAGCTATACATGTTAAGATCCTTTAACCTTTCCTTGTAAGTTTTATCCTGTAATCCATGAACCAGCTTAGTAGTCCTTCTCTTAACTCTCTCCAAAGTATTAATATCCTTCTAATGATATGGTCTCCAGTACTGCATACAATTCTCCAAGTGAGGTCTCACCAGTGTTCTGTACAAGGGCATGAGCACTTCCCTCTTTCTACTACTAATAGCTCTCCCTATACAACCAAGCATTGTGCTAGCATTTCCTGCTGCCTACCTTTAAGTCATCTGAAATAATTACCCCTAAATCTCTTTCCACAGATGTTGAGGTTAAGACTCTATCAACAATTCTATACCCTTGGGTTTTTACTTCCAAAATGCATTATCTTGCACTTATCCACATAAAATATCATCTGCCAAAGCGCTGACCATTTTTCTTGTTTACCTAAATCATTTGCCATTTGGCTTATCCCTCCTGGAACATCAACCCTGTTGCATATCTTAGTACCATCAGCAAAAAGACATAACTTACCATCAAGACCTTCTGCAATATCACCAATAAAAATATTAAAGAGAATGGGTCCAAGTAAAGATCCCTGAGGTACAAGGCTTTGAATATACTCCATTGACTACATCCCTCACTCAGCCACTGCCTTACCCATTCAACAATATTGGAATCCAAACTTAAATATTGCAGTTTATTGATAAGCCTTCTATGTGCAAAAGTGTCAAAAGCCTTACTGAAATCTAGGTAAGCAATGTCTACTGCACCACCCAGATCTATTATTTTAGTTACCCAATCAAAAAAATCAATAAGATTAGTTTGGCATTATCTCCCTGAAGTAAACCTATGTTGTCTCTGATCTTGAAATCCATGTGATTTTAGATGTTCAACATGGTTTCCATTACTTTCCCCACTTTACATGGTTTCCATTGCTTTCCCCTCTACTGAAGTAAGGCTTACTGGCCTATAGTTGCCTGACTCCTACCTACTACATTTCTTGTGAATGGGCACAACATTCACTAACTTCCAATCTTCTGGGACTACTCCTGTTAATATTGATTGGTTAAATAAATCCGTTAATGGTTTTGCTAATATACCACTAAGCTCTTTTAATAACTTTGGGTGTATTCCATCAGGCCTCATTGATTTATTTATCTTTACTTTTGACAGTTGAAATAGAACCTTTCCTCTGTAAACTCACATGTAACAAATTACTAATTTGTCCTTTTTTCCTAACTATGGTCCATTTCCTTCATTATCATCTGTAAATACTGAACAAAAATATTCATTGAGGAGTCAGCTAGACCTTTACTCTCTTCTACATACCTTACTTCTTTTGTTTTTAATCTAGCTAATCCTTGTTTTACTTTCCTTTTCTCATTTATGTATCTAAAAAAAGTTTTGTCCCCTTTTTTTACTGACTGTGCTATTTTATCTTCTGTGTGTGATTTGGAAGCTCTTATAACTTGCTTAGCCTCTTTCTGCCTAATCTTAAAGATCTGTCTATCTTCCTCATTCATCTTGGACTCCATTCAAACTGCTTCAGTCTGATATTGACTCCTTCAAACCTCTTTCTGCCTAATCTTATAGATCTGTCTATCTTCCTCACTCTGGGTTTCTTTATAATTACTAAATGCTAGCTTTTTGTTTTTTACTATTTTGGCCACTTCTGTGATTTCTTATTTTTTTTTTTTTGCCTTTACTGACAAGCCTAGTGCAATTTTCTGTTGCCTTTAGTAGTGCAACATTTAAAGAATCCCATTCATCTTGGACTCCATTCAAACTGCTCCAGTCTGATATTGACTCCTTCAAACATATTCTGATTTTAGAAAAGTCCATTTTTCTAAAGTCTGAAATGTTTGTTTTTGTGTGGTGTGACTCAGTTACAACCACACTGACTGATGTTCACTGGATCGTAAACTGTCACCTACAGTAATATCTGATACCAAATCTCCAGTTGTTAACACTAAATCTAGTATGACTTCCTTACGAGTTGACTCCTCAACGACTTGTTTTAGAGACAATCCTAGTAGTGAGTTTAGAATATGTGTACTTCTGGCACAAGCAGCTATTTTGGTTTTCCAGTTCACATCAGGAAGATTAAAGTCACCCATGATGATAACCCCCCCCCCCTTCATTGTCATTTTAACTATTTCCTCAACTATCTAGTAGATTATCTAACTCTTCTATTTGTCCTGGGGGCCTGTAAATCACACCTACACAAGTTACTGTGCAATTACCAAATTTTAACATAAGTCAAACAGACTCTATATTAACCTCACTCTCTTTTATTAGGCTAGAGGTTATGCTATCCTTCACATACAGGGCCACCCCTTCCGTTTCCTTGCCTTCCCTGTCTTTTCTATATGAAGAGTACCCTTGTATTGCTATGTCCCAGTCATTTTTCTCTTTATACCATGTCTCAGTAACAGCGACTAAATCTACATTATCAGTTGCCATTATTGCCACAAGTTTGCCACAAGTTTGTGGATTCCCTAAACTGCGATAATTTATAGTCATGGCTCTAAGCTTATGATTTTTTAACACACTTGCTACAGGCACCTTCTGTCCTTGTTTTGGAGGGCAATTGGATTGATGTTTTATCACCCTTTTGCACCCCCACCCCAGTTTAAATACTTCCTAGCAAAGGATAACACGACATGTATCCTTAATCTCATGGAGCATGCCCAATACAATCAGATAACTTGCCTTTGACTTGCATTGGACGCTGAAAAGACCTTTGACCACCTTCATTGGCAATATGTAAAAGCTGCACTGCTCAAATATTTGTTCCCCCCTACTTTTTTAAAAGCTATCTTAGCACCTTATACCCTTCTTCAGCTAGAATAATAAACTTTGGTTTCTTATTTTCAAAAATAATCTATCTTCACCAAGAGATCATTCCTAGCGGGAAAAGTCCTTTTATGGGCTTATCCATGCTATGACAGCTATTGCAAAATGTGGGGAAATTTCCCACGCTTTGGAATATGACCAAGAGTAATCTCTGACATCCAAAAGATTGAATTAATTTGGCCCAGAAGCATTCGATCTGGCTAAAATCCAGACCAAATTCAGGCCATTTTGGGGTCTGAATTAAAAAATCCAGACATTGTTGATGAAATTCATCAATGTCTGGATTTTATAATTCAGATCCCCAAATTTTGCATTCAGACCGCATTTTGCAGTTGAAATGGCTCGTATGGTTTTGCCCCATTAAGTTTTGGTCATTTGGACTTTAGTTACCAACCGTGTATTTTCCAATACAAGCAACAGCGTGGAAGGTAAAGTATACTCATTCTACCTTCTTTCTTGTATAGCTTAATCCCTTGTCTCAGAACAGACTAAAACCGCAGCAGACAGAGTACAATGAAGCAACCCCTGAGTCCTGTGAAACCTCTTTGTCTTATGCACCATGTGCCTCTGTGAGTTTGGGTGAAGGTTAAATCATTCCCCAGAGACATATACTGAAGTAAACCTGAGCTCTTGGAAATCTTCAAAACACTGACTGTTTGCATACTCGGTTGTGTACAATACAGCAGAATTAAATACAGAAACCATATAAACAAATTAAAATGTTTCCCCTGCAACCAACCATGCTGTTACACTGAAATATCAGGATTCTGATGGGGCGTGGCTAGCATCCGGACTGAATGGCCGCACACTGAATCAGCTCCGAGCTACAAGGGCTGAAATCGTCCGCACCGGAGGACCTCAAACGAAATGGGGAACAACAAAAAGCAGCAGACCACTCACCCACAACCGGGGAAGACTCCGGTGGGAAAACCGGGATCGGTAACCCGCCTGTTCACGGAATACGCTGACCGCATTTCTGATCACGGAGATCCAAATATGGCGGCGACAGCGACCCATATGGACTCTCAACCACAAAGCCCTTTCGCATCAGAAAGCTCCACAGACTCCACAGCCATTGACATCAAGGAAATATTGAAAAACCTGCCTTCCAAAGCTGATCTGGCACAAAACTAGAAACCACATTCCAGAAACTCAGCTCTGAAATTAAACAGGTAGGCCACAGGGTGCAAGACCTACAGGATGAGAGGGGATCTTATCAAACACAGATACAAGATCTAGCTTCCAAAGTTGATACCCAAGACAGACATCTCTCCATGATGCAAAGGTCACTAGATGACCTAGATAATAGAGGAAGGAGAAATAATCTTCGCATAAGGGGCTCCAGGAGACAGACAACGAAAATCTAACTAATCAACTAACTACCCTCTTCAACTCAATCCTAGGCCGCCCACCATATACACAGATAATCCTTGACAGAGCACACAGATCTCTAAGACCAAAAAATGTGGTAGGTGACACGCCACGCGACATTATATGCCGCATCCATTACTTCTCGCTCAAGGAAGAAATCCTGAGAAAATTAAGAGACACCTCTACCCCACTGCTGTACCATGGCAAGGAAATTCAAATATACAGAGACCTCTCCTGGCTTACTTTGCAGGCACGAAGAGCCTTAAGACCCATTACAGAACAGCTAAGGATCCGCAATATACGATACAGGTGGGGTTTCCCATTTGCCCTAACTGTCAGCACCAGAGGATCCACATTCACAATCTCTACACATCAAGATGTAGCTCTATTCATCAGGGCACTAGACCTGAACGAATCTCCCATCATGGACTGGTATGCGCCGGACCCGCAATAAACCCCAACAAAGACAGAGATGGCAATCACCAATTAAGAAACAGCGAACCGGACAAGTTAGCCCCCAACAACGAAGAGAGACGCACCAGGGGGGCCATGGAGGACTAAACCACATGCAAACACCGCACCCAGATGGAAGGCTCAACCCGCACACCACTAAAGGAGAATTACCCTCACACAATGCAATAAAGGCACACACATCAACAGAAGAAAACATGGTGAACTCACACACATCCATGCACTCCACAGTTAACCCCAACGTAATAGACATAGGACTATCTAACAGGGAACTTAACCGTGACTTCACAACCCGAGCCATGACCTTAAACAGCAAACCTGATCTCAAGAACACCCTGTTGGACTCTCAATTCCAGGTCGTATGATCAACAATGTAATTGAATGTATGCAGTTACATTGCACACACATACTCCACACAATTAGGTAGACCAACCCTCACACCTGAGTACCCGCACAGATGCAGGAACTGACAAAGTGCACAAAGCCACACAACAACAGTGTTGACAAGGTAAACACCAATAAAACCATAGTTCGTACTACACTTAAAATGAAAGTGTGAAGACAACCCGCATCAAGGTATTAAATATAAAAAAAAATCAAAAAAAAATCAATAACTCTGTTAACTACTCCCCCTGCCATGTGGGATAAGGTTTTAAACATGTAACCCCTCCAGTCCCACTACACCCCCCCAAATATTAAAAATCAACACCAAGCTCCAATACACTAGAACACCGCTAAAAGATTTCAGCCCGCAAGCTCCACCCGAGCAACATACCAAGAAACAAACTAGCCACTGATACAGACGATACTAGTTAATCACTAAATAACCCGTAATTTGACACGCACCATACACACAACAAAAACAGTATCGCCTTCAAACGACTCCACACATACCCCCACCCACCACTATCAACGGTGTCATGACACACTGGCCTCCTGCAGACTCAGGGACATCTCAGAGGCCGACACTAGTTACAATAGTTGCACACACACAACTATCAACAGTTATCAAAGGTATACATCTGTTGATTTAAGATTAGAACTAACAAACTGTAAATAGTTAATTGTTTGTTAACAATACTAATGTTTTATGTGAACCCTGTATATTTGAACTAAGTGATCTTACTTACAAACGCTTATTGCTGTGCATACGGTTTCTTGAAATAAAAAAAGCTCAAGACACAATTGAATCAGACCACTAACTGAACGAACCTAATCACACCCCAGCCATGAGCGCACCTGAGGTGAAGGCCACCATAACCATCATCTCCCACAATGCTAGGGCCTAAATACCGCAGAGAAACACCACATGGCACTCTCAGACTACCACAGACGTAAGGCTGATGTAGTATTTAGACAGGAGACGCAATTTCGTAAAGACTCGGCCCCCTCACTCAGGTCTAGAACCTTCACCAAAGGCTACTTTAGCAATTATTTAGAAGCTAAATTGAGAGGGGTTGCGATCCTCATATCCTCTCACCTTCCATATACGCACAAAGACCTCCTGACAGACGACAATGGTAGATTTCTATTCCTCAAAGGACTAATAGGACACACATGTCACTTTTGCAAACATATATCTCCCCAATAGTAAACAACCCCCCGCCTTACGCAAAATATTAAGCAAACTAGATACCTTCCAGGAGGGCCTATTAATAATAGGGGGGGACTTTAACATTTCACTGGATGGGATGCTTGATACCACCTCACAGACCCAAATGTATCAAGCCTCATCGAGAACACACATCCAGAAACTATTAGACTCATACCAACTATACGATGGTTGGCAAATACTCAACCCAGCAAAACGCGACTACTCATTCTACTCCCACTCCTCAGGCACATACTCCAGAATTGACATGTTTCTCGTTCCCCATAGATTCTTAAACCTCATCAAAACATGTGAATACGCCGCGATCACTTGATCGGATCACGCCCCGATCTCAATGACCATCACCATTCCATCGTTACATCCAAATAGATCACAATGGAAATTAAATGACACTCTATTGAACAATCTGGAGATACAAACAAGAATCAAGGGAGGTCTAACTCAATATTTTGACCAGAACACAAATCCGGAAACTCCATACCCGATTGTATGGGAGGCCCACAAAAGCACAATTAGGGGAACAATCATCCAAATAGCGTCCAAATACAAAAAACAGCGAGAAGTACAATCCACCTATCTACTCAAAGAATCTTAAACCAAGATCTTAAACCTCATACACCATGCCACACGGGCCAGGTGTCCGAGTCTACTCCTGCCGACAGATGCCAAAAAAGCATTCGACAGGGTAGACTGGACCTTAATGCTACATACGCTACAATATTTGGGATTTGGACCTCATTGGCAAAAATGGATCACTGCAATATACTCAGGCCCCACCACCAATATCTGAATAAATGGACAACTCTCTGACCCAGTAACAAACACAAACGGCACCAGGCAGGGTTGCCCCCTCTCCCCACTCCTCTTTGTTCTTGTCCTAGAACCATTCCTACAAGGGATCTGAGATAACAGCAACTTTAAAGGCATTCGGGTGGGGACAGAGGAACATAAAATAGCTGCATTCGCAGACGATGTGCTTTTCACACTATTGAAAAATCCGCGACAAGGCTGAGGGATAGAGGAGGTTTGGGGTTACCGGACACTGAAATTTATTACAAAGCAATACTCCTCACTAGAATATATGACTGGTCACACCCACAATCTGAGAAACAATGGGTAAATCTAGAAAGTACCTTTTTTCGAGCACCAATCTACACGATACCCTGGCACAAGTCAGGGCAGACACTAATGCTACACACCCTACAATCACCCCAACCTTACGCGTGTGGGAAACTCTACGTACTCACAAACAGGTATCACCATATCCGTCACCACTATACCCAATCACACATAACCCCCTATTTCAACCAGGGGCAGAGGGCAAGTCGTTTCAATCCTTCCGCAAGACAACATACCTTACCCTGGGTGACACCATAGAAACCACAGGGACACGATCAATTAAACCTATACACGCATTTATGAAATCTCCCATGGCAATACAGTTATATCAATACAGACAGCTAACGCACTTCATTCAATCAGGACCCCTAGCCCATAGCACTAGCCGGGACCAAACTAATTTCGAAAAAAACACTGCTCCCTCCAATCCATAAAGACAAAACTCATCTCGATAATGTATTCCCTGATTCTATCCACAAGACCCCAACAACAGCCAGCTTTCGCCACTACTTGGGAAAGAGAGCTAAATATAGAAATATCGCCAGACAAATGGCAAAGATTTTTTAGGCAAATCCAGAAATCCTCAAAAAATACGATTGCACAGGAAAGTAACTATGAAAGAATAAAGAGATGGCACTACACCCCATCGAAACTTCACTCCCTATTCCCCACAATTTCTAACAAATGCTGGCGATGCCACTCAGCCATAGGCACCACAACACACATATGGTGGTCATGCCCTGAGATACAAAAAATTTTGACACGCATCTCAGGCATGATCCACGCTATACTTAAGATACCCGTTCCTCTAGACCCAATCACCTACCTATTCCTTCTGCCTCCACAAGGCACACCGAAACTTGCAACAGCCCTATTACTGCACCTTATAACGGCTGCAAACCAACTCATACCAGCCTTCTGGAAACAACCAAATCCCCCTACATACGCAAATGGCTACAAAAAATAGAAAATACCAGAAGTCTAGAGGAAACCTATTACTCTCACTCAAACCAATACCAACAATACACAGAGATCTGGTACCCGTGGACCCAATACTTCCACAAGAACAAAACGTGGCCACCCCCCCCCCACATACACATCCAACAGCGAACATCTCTCTCCCCATTCTCCTCCCCCTTCTTTCACCCCCACACAATACAGACTAAGAACCAACAAAATACAATTAAGCCTCCAACGGCCCAACTGACAACAGTAGGACAAAGTGACGTAGGACGAGTGCAAAGAGAAATAATTTTTACATACAGGAAGGAACAAAGATAGGGGAATATAAGTACAAATTCATGAACACAAGGAAAAGTGAATAAGTGAATGAGCAGTCACATAATCATAGGTTTAGAGCAAAGGTAAAACTACACCTAACGCTGTCTAACATAGCCTGTAACATACTAATCGTATGATTGTATAGCAGTTTTGGTTTTATGATTCAGTACTTATTAATAATGCAAATCACAAATGCCGATATACATTAATTGATTTAGCTCAATATGAATGTGTTGTCGTAGCCTAGCTCACTATTAACAACTCTGTACCTCATCTTTTTAGAATTTGACCTTATTGCCTAATTAAAAACAAAAATGTGCAAAGCCAAATGTAAATCACATTGTAACTACTATATGAAGTACACAGGGACTGCCTTTGGGGTACCCCATGCAATGTTTGTTATTCCGTATGCACTGCAAAAATAATAAATAAATTATAAAACAAATTAAAAAAAATATCAGGATTCTATTTCCGAGGAAATAGTGTTTCATTTTGTAGTTTAAGCATTGTCATGGTTCCATTAATTTACCTTACTGGCAATAAGTAATTGTTGACTTCAGTATAAAAGTGTTGTATTCTGAAAAGTTTCATAAAGGATTGAAAGTGGGCAATCACTATGGAAACCTGTGGAAGGGGCAGACACATTTTCTTAGTAATTAAACTCCTTTTTCATCTGTACATCACTTTTCAAAATATAACCCCCACTGAGTCTTAACCAGGTTTTATTTTTACGTGAGCTCTGGTCTTTGCTGAATACTTTCAATTAGAGATAATATTTTACCAGTTTTAGAATTACCAGACAAACTGGAAGTCAGGAAATCTCATCAAAATGTTAAAAATTAAAGAGATGTAGTATTCCTTTATTGACTAACTATGTTATCAACTTTCGCCTTAATTTATTTTGCTGGAAATGAAAGACCGAGTTGTTCACCAAACAGCGAGTTGGGTATATTGCTCACCAAGTAATCAAAAATTAAAACATTCTTGAGCTTAGCTACAATCACGTATGAGCTATTTTTGTCTTAGTTTTGTAATTTAGGGTTCAGTTTTGGGGAATAAAGTGTTTTTGTTGTTTTGTAAAAATTTATTTTTATTTATTGCAAGAATATTCGAATTATGATGTTTTTAGTATATGTTTGTATAGCACATATCAGAGATTCATAGTGGTGTTCTTGAAAAATAATAAATGCATTATTTTTCAAATTGTGTTGTAATTGATTGTTGCAAAATTAATTAGTGTATATGCAAAGACGAGTCAGCTGTGATTCACATACTGCCCTTTGCCAGAATGTAAAATTGTATATTTAGAGCATTTACTGCAAATGTCAGCTGTTCTTCTTTACTTAT